GCAGGGTTCCGTGCGTGTGTGTCGCATCTCCCTCCCTCCTTGCCTCCTCCCCTCCTCCCCATCCCTCCCATCTCTCTCCTCTCTTCCCTCTCTATCTGGTTTGGTGTGTTATGGGGATAAATTTGTATACAGTGTACCCCCGAGATACGAATTTAATTTGTTCCACATATATTGTACGATATCAACCACGTTACGTACAGAGTGGCTATATGCGCGGCGCCGGACATATTATCTGAACGACTGCGGGCACGGTCTTCGATTTTTCGAAGCAGGCAGGTTTTATTTTCAGCGTTATTCAAGGTCACAAGGGTTAGGGTTAGGGTTAGGAACTGACGGGACATTAGGGAATCGAGACTATGACGGCTGGGGCATATAGCCACAGCGTTGTTTGTAATTATCTCGAGGAATTTGTATGCCGAACCCTATATATAGGACGTAGGCCTATAACAATTTGCATACAACAAGTGCAATCATGAGAGCTCAACCACATTCAGTGAGTCACCGTAACTTAAAATGATGCTCCACCGAAAGATGCTTTGTGCGCTAGGTCATATGCCATGATTGCGTGATTGTAAGACGCCCTATGTTGAATTTTATTCGTTTGCTTCGTAATAACATTGCGTTCAACGGAAGATTCGTGTAATTCGTATCTCGAAAACTTCGTATGTCGAGCCGTTCGTATCTCGGCGGTCCACTGTATACTTTTGATCCCATATATGATTCAGCTAGACTTATGTTATGTTTCAGAAAAGTCTACAATTAAGTATACCTACATCGGTTCAAGTTAAGAATTGGATATGACAAACGAAGCATGTGCAACTGCTGAAAAAGTGAATGAGTTAAAACTGCTGTCTACATCAGTGTGTAGTTTTGCGTCGAATGCCTTATCTATATAAAACGGATTTAACAGTTATTTAAATGTTTAGGGGTTAATAATGGACAAATGTCATCAATGTCATTATTCAACCCCTGATATACTAGCATTAGTATGCCAAATTAGCAGATTGGGCGAGTGACTACATGACAATTAAAACAATTGGAGGGCGGTGCATTTTGCAATATTGCAATTTGTATTATTCAAGCCTGATATTTTATGCATGGCATATATTATTTATTATGTTCTTATAGGCTAACAATGCGCATCCAAACGATAATTTCTCCAGTCTAGATTGCAATATTTGTTGTCTATGATATTCAATACTCCTTTTGTGGGCAAAATAAAATCTGTTACTCCCATTTCACCTGCGTCCGTATGTCTTATAAAAGGATATTTGAAATATTCAATGTGTTGAAATTCTCGCTGGTTGTGTCAGTTTCCCCCATCTTAAGATCCGTTGCAGCGGTACATGCCGCCGGTCTACAGCGGTACCGGGCGCATAGTAAAGATCATAATTGGCGTCAAGTCACCACTTCGAGGGACTATTTTGTTTGGGAAACAGTCGGCGTTCATTGCGCCGAATTGCCGTTTTTCTCACCTCTTTTTGGTGAGGTTTTAGCAAACGAGCAAGTGAAAATGGAGCAACTAGGTTATTTTGTCATAAAGGTAGTTGATTATGCATTGCACGAAGTATTTGCTTGTCGGAGTACTGAGATTAGCGTTTGGATGCGCATTGGTGGCTTTAAGGTTTGGTTCGAAACACGGTGTGGATAATAAAATAACTGATAAATAATTCAGTAGAACATATCTATATATATATAAAACTATAATTCAGAAAGTAATACGGAAAACGTTACTATTCTGCCTTTGAAATTATCACCCAATAAAAGAAAATGAAAAGAAAAAATTTATTATTATTGCACAAAGACAGACTGGTTTTCTACACGATAGAACTCGGTAGAAGACGGTTCACTTGTTTACGTCGTTGCAGGTGATGGCGAGGAGGATGAGAAGGGAGGTACAGATGATGTCGTGAATCCGTGGGAGGTACACGCAACCGATGAGAAAGGCATTGACTACGATAAGTTAGTCAGTAGGTAGCACGCCACAAGTACATCTCTAACGTCACTGCAACATATCTTTATTGTTGACCGGAAATAATACATTGTGCTGCTTGCGCAGAGAGTTTGCGCAAATAATTATACTAATTAAGTAATACTAATACTACAAAAGTGTTATAATACATTAAGTTTATATCAGTTAGATCCATAATAAGTTATAATGACTTACAACGACGGAATTTTCGTCCATCTCTCTGATAGATTTCCTTAGGTCGTTCGTCGTTAAGTAATTATAACGTATTATATATATGGATCTAACTCAGATAAACTTATTTTTATGTGAACTATAGAGATCCGATGAAATTATTCAATCTTAGTTTTATATTACAGTTTGGACTATAATTAGGGAATGTCAGGAGTGAACCACCAGGTAGAAGGAAATCATTATTGGCGTCGTTGCTCAGAGTCGTTGCCGTTACCCGGTGAGGCTCAGCCGGTGTAACGTTGTTTGCTTTTCTTTCAGAGAGATTCGGAAGTTCTAAAATAGACGATGAACTTGTGCAGCGATTTGAGGCGGTGACGGGACACAAGGCGCACCATTTCCTGCGACGGGGAATATTCTTCTCACATAGGTATGAAATTATTGCTTACGGTGGCAGTTGATGATGATTGTATATATAGCCTTATTATTCGCAAACCTCTCGTTTAGAAATAGAAATCTTTTTAATATTGGTATTAATTTGGCTTATTTTTTTATATATCTTCTTGCTATTCTATCGATCTGTCTATCTATCTATCTATCTATCTATCTATCTATATATCTATCTATCTATCTTTCTATCTATCTATCTATCTATCTATCTGTCTGTCTGTCTGTCTATCTATTTATCTATCTATCTATCTATCTATCTATCTATCTATCTACCTACCTACCTACCTACCTACCTATCTATCTATCTATCTATCTATCTATCTATCTATCTATCTATCTACCTACCTACGTACCTACGTCCGTCTGTCCATTTATCTGTCTATCTATCTAGTTATCTATCTATCTATATATATCTATCTGTCTGTTTATCTATTTATCTATCTATCTATGTATATCTATCAATATCTAGCTACCAATATGTGTTCTGTGTGTGCGTGTGCATAGATGCATGTGTTTTAAGTGATAAAAGAGCATAGCTGTGCACAACATTAGTTTGGCAGCAAAAGGAGAAACTTAATGAAAAAGTTCGATTCATTCAATAAATGTGCCATTGCAATTGTGTGATGAGTATACCTGTAACTATCAGGTATATATATCCCTATATCTATAGGTATATACCTATATCTATAGGTATATACCTATATCTATAGGTATATATACCTATATCTATAGATATATATCTATATTATACACTTCTACTACTATGTTATAACTGGGTGGCTGTGCTTTTTCGCAGGGACATGCACATGATACTGAACAGGTATGAGCAGAAGAAGCCATTCTTCCTCTACACTGGCCGGGGCCCCTCTCATGGCTCGATGCACCTGGGACATTTGATTCCATTTATATTCACAAAGTGAGTTGTATTCACGCTCTTCGATTAAAACATTCTATTAAAATATATGGTCGGATTCTATTCTATTAAAGTTATTCTTTTCATTCTATTAAAATATATCTGTTTAGGTCAACATTGCAAAGGAAATGTGCTATTGGTTTTAGCCATTCTTGAACCCCACCTTTTATAGAGACATTCGTCAACTTCTATTGTTACGTGCTACCGGAATCGTTTATATGTTAATGAGGGCTAAATAGCTCGCTACATTTTTCAACTGTGATCAACAGTGTTAATATATTTATCTGATTAACTTTGTCTCTTGCGGTCTTTGCTATAGTTCCTTGGACTCTGAAGACTAATATTTACGAGGTTAAGGGGTTACAGTACTTGCTCGTGCCTAATCGCTATTTCATCAACTATAACTGTAATCATTGCAGTGAAAATGTAGTTGACGTAATCGACGTAGGCATCGATGAGGCTGCATTGCACGTTTCCATGGTTACAGGTGGCTGCAGGAGGTGTTTGATGTGCCGTTAGTGATACAACTGACCGACGATGAGAAGTTTCTCTGGAAGGACCTGAAGGTCGAGGAGGCGAACCGGCTGGCTTATGAGAATGCTCGCGACATCGTAGCGTGTGGCTTTGACGTTGATAAGACGTTCATCTTCAGTGATATCGACTACATCTCGTAGGTTTTTTTCTAACTTCTGAAGGTTTTTTGTTTTGCTAAATATTGCAAAGTTACCACGTTCCACGTTACTCGCATCGTTCCAGCTCGTCGCAGGCATTCCACGTTGCTATCATGGTTCTACTTTCCTCTTATGTTCCACGTTCTTCGCATTGTTCCACGTTCCTCACATTGTTCCACGTTCCTCACATTGTTCCACGTTCCTCGCATTGTTCCACGTTCCTCACATTGTTCCACACGTTGTTCCACGTTCTTCGCATGTTCCATGGTCCTCGCATTGTTCTTCGCATTGTTCCACGCGTTGTTCCACGTTCTTCGCACGTTCCACGGTCCTCGCATTGTTCTTCGCATTGTTCCACGTTCCTCACATTGTTCCACGCGTTGTTCCACGTTCCTCGCATTGTTCCAGCTCATCACGGGCGTTCTACCTGAACATGCTGCGCATCCAGAAGTGCGTGACCTTCAACCAGGTGAAGGGCATCTTCGGATTCGACGACAGCACGTGCATCGGCAAGGTGGCCTTCCCGCCGATCCAGGCGGCGACGTCGTTCTCAAACTCGTTCCCGCAGATCTTCGCGGGCAAGAAGGACATTCCCTGCCTCATCCCGTGTGCAATAGACCAGGTGCGTGGGCCGAGGGTAGGACAGAGGCGAGCGGACGTGCGGCGGGAAGCGTAAAGCTGGGTTTACACTATCAACTTTCTGCTGAAAAGTTGACGAGTTCATCAGCTTTTCAACTAATCGACCGAAAGTTGGCAGTCTAAACGTAAAAGGCTTGCGCGCAACTTGTTAATATCAACTGGTTGCGAGATTAGAACGTTCTATTTTCGCAACTCGGTGTCAGTGAATCGAACATGTATGCTTTTGCCATTCGGCCACTCCGATAATAGCATTCAGGAGGTGTTTCCCTCCAGCCAGGGGGAGAGCGTGTTTTTGATGTCGGTGCCACAATGGCGCAAATTAATACGTGAAAAA